TACCTACCAAGTCCCCTCGGCCTCTCTCTCCTGTGCTTAAAGCAGCAGAAACAAAACAGAAACATAGTGGCAGCGCAAAAGTGAAAAGTCTTCTGCCTTAAAGGAATCAAAGTCACACTTTATACTACAAACTATACAGTGCAAGTTGATAACACGTAACTTGATATGCTTTGTTTTGCTTCTAAACACTGTAAATGAAAGAAGCTGCACACAAGTGCATATGTTATGATTCTTATGTACAAAAACAGGCAAAACTAATTTATGGTGTTAGAAGTGGGGACAGCGACTATCTTTAGGGTCCTAAGAGGAGGGGCACAGGGAGGGCTTCTGGGTGCCAGCAATTTTCTATTTCTCACTATGAGCACCGATCACATGGATGTGCTCACTTTCTGGAAACCCATCTAACTGTACACTCATAGTTGTGCCTTTTCTATGGTTTTGCTATACTTCTACAAAAAGACTTTCATAAGGTTATGTAAGGAAGAGTTAGACCTCAGATCCTCTCCCCAGTTCCAGTAGGAGACAGTTTATACCCTGGAAGAAACTGAACCCAAGTCGCTGGCTCATAGACATCAGGCATAGCAGGAAAGCTGTCCTGAAGACAGTGGGTCAAATGAAAGTCCACACACTAAACCTTGCGATTCCAGCTCTCTTCCCTACTCCACTCCCTGAATCTTGGCATGCACTGCCCACACAAAAGACCAGAGGATTCCTCTCAAGTACAACTGACACACCCTGGGGAGGAGATCCAGAGATACTGTCTCTGGAAGTTCCCCAACGAAACCACAAGGCTCACCCCTGACAGCCCTTGCAGTGAAGCTGTACGAAGGAGAAAGCCTGCCCACGGCACCCAATTCACTTCTCAGTGGCACACCATTAAATAGGAGCAGACAGCAAAGGATCACCAGTTAAAAGGCAAGTTTCTAACATAAAAATCAGATGCCTATACAAACAGGAAAAAAGAAATCAAGACATCGCAAGAAGGAAATGAATGAACGAATGAATTAAATGTCCTCAGAAATAGAAGAAATACATCCATGGCGGGGGCACAGAATGCTATTAAAATGCACACAAATTAAACAAACAAACAAATAAGGAAGAACTATTGAAAAAAAGACAACAGAAATTCAGAAGATGAAGAAAACCTGTCAAGAAATAGGGCATTAAGACAGACAGATAGGAAAATTAGACAATCAGAGGGTAAACAAGGAGGTCCTGCCTAAAAAAAAAAACAGAAGGAAACAGAGGAAGAAAAGAGAAAACCAAGATGGGGGAAGAGAGTATCAAAAAATGTAATGAGACAGCTTTCTAGAACTGAAGGACATAATTTTCTCAGATCAAGTGTTCACCATAGTGGCTAAAATGAATAAAGAGCTCCATACAGAGAAATTGCTAAAATCTTTTCTGGGGTTGTTTAAAAAAAAATTGAGGAAAAAGGGTCTCTGAAGACAGGAATCAGACTACGATAGCAACTGCCGAAGCTAGAAGACAACGATGCACTTGCTTTGAAATTCTGAGACACACGTTTTCCCGTCTAGAAGCCAGCCAAATATTCAATCAAGTATGAGAGAAAAATATTTTTAGATATGTGAAGTGTTTAATAGATCTGTCTCCCGTATCCTCTTTCTCAGGAAGATATTGGAAGACATTCCATCAAAAAGTGGGAGTAAAGCAAGAAAGGAGTCACTAGACACAGGAAAACATGGAAAACTGAGGAGAGATGAAAAGGGAGTTACCAGGAAAACGACACAAGGTAACCTCAGGACAGCGGCTGTGTGGCAGACCCACCCAGCAGGGACCCATGCCGGCCCCAGAAACGAGGGTGTCTCCAAGAAGAAGGTGCTGAGAAGAGAGTAAAGTTTTGTCAGAAAGCTCAACAATATATGAGAAAAAGAGTACACAAATGAACAAGAGAGGCTCCTGTCCAGCCAGCACAAGAAAGGCCATGGAATCGCTGTGTTTAAGTGCCTTAGAGATGAATCAGAGCTCCATGCTCAAAATAATGTCAACCCTCAACACCGACTTAACCAAAAATGGACACCTGGACATCAAGAGGATGGGAGAAGCGGCGGTCTGTGCACGTGGCATGGTGCCAAGGGGGTGTGAGACGATGGAGAAGAGTTAAATCCTCATCTTCTATAGCAATAAGCAAGAAAGCAGCAAAAAGAGCCTAAAGACTCCAAAGTGGTTGCCTAGAAATCAGGACTTGGGTACAAGGAGTTTAAAGCACTTATTTCTTATGTCTTATTGCTTATTAAGATTTTCTATATACAATATTACTTTGATGGGTGAAAAGTTTAAATTTTAAAAAGATACTAAATAAAACCAAAAAACGTACGAAATAATAGACAAGAAAACTAGAGAGGAAGAACTGCAGTGGGCAAATGACAGGAAGACGAGCAGTACTCTAAAGCTCTTACAAGAGTCCAGGTGAGAGCTAGAGGGGCTTCCTCCGACAGATGGGCAGAGATGGTGTGTATTGAGAGATGGGAAACAGAGGAGAAAAGCAAATGGGTTGAAAAGATATTTATAAATTTAGAATCAATAGATATGGGGAACCAATCAGGGGATTCTGAAAGCCCCAGCAGGAAAGGCAATGCCCCAGATACCCTTCCATCTGGGTATTTATTTAGTCCATAAATGCGGACTCTTTGGAAGCACCATATTCCCCCACGTAATGAGAAGTATTTTGCTTTTCTTTTGGTTTAAGTTTTAATTTTTAGACTATTTAGAAACCACAGAAAATAATGATCATCCAAGTAGCTATAATTTAGCTTTTTCAAATATTAACATTGTCCACTTGCCTCTAATCTTTTTTTTTAAGATATAAACATTATGCATCTAGTTGAAACCATCTTCAAATCATTTCCCAATCCCATCCCCCAACCGCCTCCCCAGAAAGTAACTGTTAATCTGATTCGACATTTAGCATCTCCCACTACCTCATCTCTAAAACCAGAGCATCGGTTTGGATAAATGCTAATGCCCTTGCTGTTCTGAGTGAGACATCAGGATGCAATACCATGACACAAAGTTCTCCATGCTCTGTAACGGAAGTGCAGAAGCCTATCGTTCAGTGCTGTGAAATACACAAGAATATTTCAAAGCTCAAAAACAGATAGAATCACGATATAACCCTTTAGCAAAAAAGCATAGTATCTTTACTACAGCAGTGTGAGTAAAAACCATGTTATCACTGCAGAGGGCACATAAAAACCTAAGCTGAAGAATTTCGCTGTGGCTTCCTTCCATTGTCCCCATCAGCTCCAGGGAACAATAAGAAAGAGTTGGGCACAATATCCGCACTGGAGTTTGTACTGCCTACGGAGCTGATTCAGCACAGCACCAAACTGTCCCCGTGGTCACCGTATTCTTCTCTGCCAGGAAATCACAGCAAAAATACACTTTAAAAATGCACAATGCCAGTTTTACTTAAAAATGCCCTTGAGGATGCAAGACAGTCATTGGTATTACATCTCAACACTTGAATACATATCTTTTGTTTTTTTAATTTTCTGGGTGATAAATGGGAAGTACACATAAAGCACTTTTGCTGTATGTGAAGTTCTCAAGGAAGACACTTAGAATTATTTGAGCTGTGAGCCAAACTAGTCCCAGTGTTCACGGAATAGATACTTGAAAGATCAACTTACAAGCTCATTACTTCAGACTTGGGTTCATGGCAGATGTTTTCTCTATAATGAAGTGAACAGGTCACTTCAGGAAAAACCCTAACAGTACCTGTTGCCAAGGATAGCCTTCAAGCTTCCAATGGAAAATTTAAATTTTGTATAACTTATTTTCACAGTGAGCTTGACAACTTTCCAATACCTAAAGCTTTTTTCTGATGAGATCAGTTGTGATACTGCCATTTCTTCAAGTTGCAAAATGAAATATGTTAATATTTGGAATATCTGTATTACCCAACAAACCAGTATTTTCCAAATGACTTTATGCAGTAAAATGACATATGCGCAAAGACTCAAAGTACAAGAAAGACTAATGGATCCTAATGCGAAAAACTTTTGAAAGCTCACTGTTAGGGTTTTACATTACACATTGGAACCAACATTTAAGAAAATATCCCCTGTCAAATTTTGATACAGTATCAAAGAAGAATATTCACAATTATCTGAAAAGACAATTAAAATACTCTTCCCTTTTCCTACATATCTGAACAAACCTTATAATAAACACTTATTGGATTATTCTTTCCAGATGTTAAAAACTATAAACATATAACCGTAAGAGTTAATTACCACAGTTTAATCTCTGCCGTTATCAGTCATTTCACAGCAAATGAACAATTCATTATTTATTTAAAAGTTACATCCTTCTGTAGTTACAGTCTCAGATATTTGCAACAAATATTTAAGTACCAGAGGCTTCATTTACCACAGAATCAAAACTGATCATTGCTCCAAAAAAAAAAAAAAGGAAATGAATATGGTAAATCTGTTTTATACAGATGCAAATAAAGTCCCTTCCCTCTAGTTATAAAGAAGCAGATCTTTTTCATTTAACATGTGACTCTTGAAACTTATACACTAATCACCCAGGTGATGTGGTATTGATAGATTTAAACCCTAGGTCTTAAATTTCTAAGGAAATATCGTTTCATGGAAAAAGACTGACCTTCCGTAAATTTTGAGAGAAGTAATTTAATATGACCAGACCTCTGTAGTTCAAAACTAACACACCAAATATCATTAACTTTTCACAGAACCATTTGTAGACAGGTTAAGAAACAAGAGTGATTTAAAGTGACGTGTTTTTCTTATACAAAACTATCCAGTTAATGAATATCATAAATCATTCACTTCAAAGGAAGGGAACTTAAAAGTTTTTTTCAGAATGAGAATTAATAATGTCCTCACTAATAAAGTCCTATTACCCTGCCTTCTGAAAGGGAAAAGTTACCCACTGTAGCTTTTTAAGTCGGAGTATTCAAGAAACAACCAGAAACTCTTCCCCTTCCTAACCACCCACTGCATGCTCACCTCTGCAGTTCATTGAGCCCCCTGGCAGTTGGCAGACTGGGATTCTGCCTTAGGAAGTTTTGTTTTAAATTGAGATGAGTGAGGTCTTGGCTGTAGAAAAGGTTGGCAGGCAGATGCTCCAGGCTACAACATGAGAGGTCCACTGAGCTAATACGCTGTGATGCAACCTAGAGGGGGAGAGAAACACAACTCAATTTTAATGTCATCCTTTATCCTATAGCTGCTTTCCACGGATAGATATAAGATAACCCCACTGGGAACACAGACACACTATGCAATTAGCATCACTGCTTAAATATAAACCAAGACCATTTACTTAGGATTGAACTGAGTCAAGCATTACAAAGGCAGGAAACAGTGTCCCTTCCTGGAAGGTACTTACAGAAACCTAGTATAGGAGACACAGATTATTCTATCAAGTTTAGTGATATCAGTAATCTCCTCCAACTGTAGGGGTATGTTCCTGAAAACATCCATGGTAAGAGAAATCAGAGCTAAATACAAGACTTTAGAGTAAATACAGGGTTGGGTGATAGACACTAAGATCCAGACTGAACCCATGAAAAGCCATTGTATATACTGATTTAAAACAGCACAAATAATACTTGTAGCATATAATCAGAATCCCCTAACTGCCTGCTGTAAGCTTCTTGGGTTTCACAAAGTTTCAGTTTTGCTTCATGAAGATATTCTAAGAGAAATTAATTTTATGTCTAAATGTTTATCCACATTCTCAAAGCTTTCCTAGCTTAAATTAATAACTCCTACAATGGCCAGAGTCCCAGGGCTACACACCCACAAGCATGCTGGAGGCAGAAAAAGCACTGGGCAGTGTGTCTCTCTACCACATTCTGGGGAATGTGGTGTCAGTTTACACCACGGCACGTGGCTCCAGCCCCACTGACACAGACCGTGGCTCCTTCTCCCCTCACAGGGGCTCTGGGGTTACTGCTCTAAGAGCTGGGCTGATCCCTCCTCATGTTCTTCTTTATCTTTACCCAAGTTTTATGGCACAAACACCATGCCACATCTGTGATCAATCTGATATCCTTTTCTATTACCAAACCCCAGCTTTCTTTTGCGATTACGAAAGGCAGCAGAACACGGTCCTGAGGAGTGTGGCTCTGGTGTCAAAGTGCGAACTCGCACCCCAGCTCCACCACTCAGGAGCTGAGAGCACTGGAGTGGATCCCTGGGCTCTGCAGCTCCCACGTCCTCACCTATGCAACAGGCACACCTGACCCTGCCTGCACATGCCTGGCTCAGAAAAAACCCTCAGTAAGTGACGACTGCCACCACCACCATGACTGCTACCACTACTTACAAATAGAATGATTCACATCTGGCACCCAAGGGAAGCCACATTCTCCTGATGTATTCAGGAGTAGATCTGCATAAAACACATTCTGCTGATGGCATATCTGAGGACAGAGAGAAAGCGCTGTGCACACACGAAAGATAAGAGGACAGTGGGGTGAAAGAGGCCTGGAGGGGCTCAACTAAAAGATTTTACAAAGGAACTGTGACTTTGCATTTTAGCAACTTCATCTTCCCTTGACTTGTCACTATTAAATAAGAAAATCCCAAACAGGGCCAAATTACGCACACAAACCAAAGGATGTGAAAAAAGTCAGAATTTAATGGACCTGAAAGTCACGTGCCAACAGGCCACAGCCCCACAGGATTCCATGGCAGGAACTCATTCAGGGGAAGTGAGGCTGAAAGTTGTACTTGGTGGAATCATTCATTCAAAAATACGTGGTGAGCATGTTAATGGTGCGTCAGACTTTCCATTTCCTAAGATAAGGCCGTAAAACAAGACAGATATACTCTCTGTCCTGAATGAGTACATCTCAAGAGAAGGAGAGGGCAACTGAGATACTGTTGGGCCAGCTGGCGTCCTTCAAAGTCCAATGACCCCACTTCTGGGCTCTCAGATGTCTGCCTGTGATCCCTCAACAGATAAAGTACATTCTCTACTGGGCGTGTTTCCCCTAACAGACCAACAGCCCAGGTCACGCCTGCCTTCTCAGAGTCAAACCCCACAGCCCTTCATGGACCCTAAACCTCTTACGTCACCTGCAACCAATCAGAGACGTGTGCACAAGCCGATCAGACACTTGGTAACCCAACTTTATAAAACACCCCAACAACCGGCCCAAGCTAAAAAATGCTTGGAGCCACCAGAGCTGAAAGAGGCAAGGAACAGATTCTCCCCTCGAGCTTTCAAAAGGAGCACGGTCCTGCTGACACCTTGATTTTGCACTTCTGGCCTCCAGCACTGTGAGAGAATACACTTCTGCTGTCTTAAGCCACCAAGGTTTTGTTAATTTGTTACAACAGCCACAGAAAAGTAATATGTCCTTCTTATTTTTTCCATAGCACTTTTCATTTTCATTTATTCAACATGTTTATGGAATACCTACTATGTGCCTATTACTGATCTAGTTAAGTACTTAGTGTGCTTCAGTGAACAATAAGACCCCTGCTCTCATTAAACTTTCCTCACAAATAAGTAAGTTTTATGTTAAAAACTGGCAACTACCATGGGGAAAAAAAGAGCAAGGAAAAGTTGATGAGGACTGTTGGGAAGGCTGTAGGTGGTAATGTAAACAGGTTGGTCAGGATGGGCCTCACTGAAAAGGTGGCATTTATACATACAGAACATGAGGAAGCTGGCTGAAAGGATTTATCTACAGCAACAGTCCTGGCAGAGGAAGCAGCCAGCGTAAAGGCCCTGCAAGGGGAAGATGCTTCGTACGTTCCGCAGGGAGACCAGTAAGACAAGGGGAGTGACCTGCGCAGAGATCAGCAAGGTGAGGGGCGGGGCGGGCGGCACGTCCTGCCCATCCGTGGAGATCACTGTAAAGACTCTGGCTTTTCACATGAGCAAAGTGGGCAGCGCGGAAAGGTTCCAAGAAAGGTCTCCGTCTCTGACTGTAAGCTCAAAAAGGAAGGGATTCGTGCCCATTTTCCTCCCAGTGTAGCCTGCGCTCAGCACTTGGCACAGCTCTCAAGAAGCATTTGCCAGAAGAACGACCACCGGACCACTTTACACCCCTTCCCTCTCGCCAGTCTGCATCTGACCCATCTGGCGTGTTCCTCCACGTGCAGGCGACTCTGTAGAGAACAAATTCCATTTCAACTGAAGCATCACACTAAATACTCTCGTTGGACAACTAAAAGATAATGATTAAATGTCAAGTCGTATTTGATTCCTTTCCTCGTTCTGGACCACAAGCTGTTCCTGCTGGAAACAAGGGGGAGGAAACCACAGCAAAGAAGCTACAACAAGCAAGCGCAGTCTGTGGGGGTTGTGGCAGAACTGGGAACACGGACCGCGAGAACGGAAGTTAACCCTGTCACGATGGCAGTGGGGCAGTGAGCGGCCAAGGTGACCACGAGAGCTACCGTGAGCTCACCTCTGCCCGGTCCGGGCCCTGCAACAAAGGGGAGATTTCAGTGCTTCCAGCCAGATCAGCCTGGGCACGTAAGGACCTACCACAAAGAGGTTTTGCTTGACTCCCAAACGAAAAACTACCGACGGGGCTACCCAAAGAGGCTGTGACTCACCTGCAGGTGCCCATTACAATTACAATCTTTCTCAAAATAAGAAATAAAAATAAATCAGAAAGCCACCTGTACATACCTCAAAGCAAGAAGCCTTTTATTACTCTAGCTTTTTTTCCCCTAGTCGTAACAACAATAATGGCAGCTAACATTTAGGGGGCGCTTTGCTTGTGACAGGCACTCTTCTTTAGACAGGACACTCAATCCTCCCAACTCAGTGCAGTTAAGGACTTCTCTCCATTTCAAAGATGAAGGTTAAACTGAGTCACAGAGTGTGCCCAGGGTCACACAGGGAAGGCAGCAGCAGAGCCCAAGTTTGAAAGGGGGGCTCTAACCGCCAGGATCAAATAGTAACATAACCCCTTAGCCCAGAGCAAAGGTGATGCGATGTTATCCTGAGGATAAGCTTAAGTCTCAGGAATGAAGACAGGGCAGTGACAGGTGGGAGTCATCCTGGAGAGACACAGAGGAGACCATCTGCTGACCACATGCAGACCTCAGAGAAGGGGTGAGATCCCTCGGGGCACCGTGCCCCCCCATCACGGGCTCTGCCCACTCCGACCTCACACAGCTTGTCCACCTGCATAGCAGTGATGCTGCCTGGTGAGCACCGAACCCAATTTTAAAAGGTTACAGGAAACATTTAAAAGGTTACAGAAATTGGAAAGAAAACAAAAGAGACACATGCACAAGCGGAAACTGCCTCAAATCTTTGTTAGAAACAGGGACTGCTTAAAGTCCTCACAATTAGGATGTAAAATTCTTTTCGCAAAACCTACTGTGCTTCTACTGCTATAAAAAAAGCTTTTCTCACTGAAAGAGACCAGGAGGCTCTACACACCAAGAATGCCGAGAACCAGCATCCACAGCTACAAGCAAGACAAACCTATAAGACAAGAAAAGGACCAGAGTGCGGGCCACTGCTCCTCCTGTCTTGAGCAGTCGCACAAAGTTCAGGCAAAGACAGAATGTGATGCTGGTTATGCAATTTACAGACCGTCAATGAACTGTGTGTGAATGGATTCAAGGTTCAGAAGATCAGTTCCAGTAATGGTGGCTTGGGAAATCCATGCTAATCTGTATTAACAACAACAACAACAACAACAACAACTCTAAGGCTAATAATTTACAGTTAGTAAATCAAATGGGATTTTCCCCTCACGGATCGACATACTCCGGGAGATACAGTAAAGCGAGCATGAATCGCAGCGACTGGCTTGGTTTGTCTTCTTTTCCAAATGACTTGTAAACACGTACGAACAAAAAGCTCATCTGGCCCTCAAAATATTTTCCCCAAAGAACAGTGCAGATTAACCATAAAAATGATAATATGAACAACAAACTCTCCAGATTACCTAGTGGGCTCTCATGCTTTTCTAACATTCTACTCAGCTTGACACTTTAAGTTGTTTCTGTACCAACCTTTAAGACACAGGTCAAATATGCCTCTGCGCTGGGTCTAGCTGGGTTCCATTTCCAAACTAATGTATCTATCCTATGCCTGACCCATCCTCTCCATGCTTTAGGAATTATCACCTTCCCTTGCGAGAGGACTGTACTACATTACCCACATTATTCCTGGTGTTCCCTTAGTGGA